ATATAGAGCTTCACAAGCGAAGGCAACAAGTGCTTGGACAATTGCAGCAGAATCAAATGGCGAATATTTCACGACCACCCTTTTCACACAGCCCTGAGCAGAAACGACAGTACCCAGGGTTACGCTCCCTGCCGCTTTATAATGATCCATCTCCAGGCCATCCCCCAAATGATGGAAGCGCTAGCAATAGTCCTGTACCTAATCATCCTCAACAGTTCATGAGGGGGGTTTCAACTCCTGGTGTAACACAGTCTTCTCAAGGTTTTGGATCTAGCCCATCACCGTCTTCTGGAGCACTGTACTTAAGTCAAAGTCAACAAATTCAGCTCTCCTCAAATAGCCAACAACTACAAGTAAGTACTTTTCATTGCATTCTTGAATTTGTGTGGAATTCTCAGTTTGATATACCGCGTGTTCGGAAAAGTGGCTATAGATTTTATTTTCTTCACTATTTAGTTACGTTCTTCCAATAAATAAAAACAGCTAAAATTGAGAAAAATTTTTAGATATATGTAAAATTAGCTCTTGAAATGATGGTTTCGGTTTGAAATTTCAGATGATTCTCAGATGTCTTTGTAATTTAGGGAATCGAACTTCCGCTTTAAAGAAATGTGATTGAAACATCATCAGTCTTACTATTTGATATTACTTTTGCACTTGTCGGTTACGCAGCAGTCGATGATATTGAATTCTTTCTAGAGGTCGTGCAAAGTTTTATAATTTTCGATTTCTGAGGGTATAGTGTTCTTTATAATCTTCAAATAGGGTCACTAGAGGATTGCCCGTCTCGAGAACTGGTCCAAACAGCGTTTGATCATTTCCTAGAACTTCGTCCACGGAATAACGCTCCAAATTCTAAAATAAAAATTTTAAATTGCCTCTACGTTTTCGAATTACGAAGCTGACAGTGGAGTGTTTGAGAAATATTTGCTGAATCTTTGATTTGAAGTAAAATATTTGTTCAAAATGACTGTTTCTTAAAAGTACGTTCCATCGCGTTACTATTAACGTAAAATTCATGCTTCTTAGTGGCGTAAAGAAGAAAATTCCAGACCATAAGCAGTTTTTTTAGTTTTAAAGTTTTAATCTTGACGAAATGAGAGTTAGCGTATATTTTTACAAAGTGTTTCGTAAATATGAATCACTTTTCCCATATTTGGTCCTCTACGAAGAGTTTCTTCCTGCTCTTGCATTTTGTTCTGAGATTTTTTTTGTCAGATTTTAAAATTATATAGGTTTTTTTTTTTTTTTTTTTTTTTTAAAAGAAAATGTTTTCATACTTTATAAAACTACAGTTAAAATAGGTAGATTTTTTTCCTTTTCTTCCGAGATTTGAATATTTTGCTTCATTGTCAAACTATGCCTTATTTATAATTTTTGTCCTTAAAATACTCTCTCTGTTATTTATTTGTGGATTTTATGCTGCATTAGGAGCTTCCACTTTTTTTCTGCTGTTCTGTTTGCCTGTTTATTTTTAATATATGTGGCTACGTTTTGCAGATTTCATTACGAACTTAATACTTGGATTTGATTTTTCAATTTAGGCAGGACTACATGCTTCATCTCAATTTTTACCAACGGAATCCGAGAATCTCGTATCTCTGTTCGAGCTCTCAGATCCACACATTTTTTTTAAGTGCCTTCGTTCCGCAAAGATACTACAATCATATTTAAAGTCCATACTTTGGACGCGATTCGAGCATGACCCCAGTTTTGTGTGCGATAAACTTCTCCTAACCAACTTTCTGTTCAAGGTGATACGGGTTTAATATGAAATGACGCCTTTCTTCGGAAAATTTGGTAAGATGCTGCATTCCTTCGTACGATAATTATATTAATCCAAAGGGGCAATTTGCCGTGAAGGACTATTAATTTCGTTTTGGCATTTTGCGTTAAAACTTTAAAAGGATATATCACTTTTCAAATCGTTGTCACCATATTTTCGCTTGTCTTAATATAAAGGAATAAATAATGAAGATTGCATAACTTATGCAGTTTCCGCATGTTATAAATAACGTACCTAGAGCCAGCAAAATTGAATAACGTAATCTTCCCATTTAAGTGGAGCCTTATTTGAATTTTTTAAATTTTTATTAATCGATTTTCAGTTTTGTAACACTTCAACGAATTTTTGATAAAAAACTAACAATTTCCAAACGAGCAATAGCAACACTGTGTTAAAAAAAAAAAAAAAAAAAAAAAACTGTATCGGAATTCTAAAGATATGCTCGTTACAATTAATTTGTTATTGCTGTTGACTGGATCTGATTTTTTAGTGCGCGAACATGATATTTACTAAGAAATTAACAACAAAATTTAAAAAACGCCTTGGAAGTAAGTTACAATCTGAAACTTTCAGATTTTTTTTTTTTTTTTTTTTTTTTTTAAATTTGATTTAGACTTGTATCTGTTCTCCTTTGCGTAATTATTGAAATCTTTACGAAGAATGCTGTTTTAGATATTAATGCATTTGCATTTATTTATAGCATATTATGATTTCTTATCAAACTGCTTTGAAGGATCGCCTAAATTAAATATTTTAAGTAATGTCTCGAACATGTTTTAGGCTGCGAAGCAAAGTAATTAGTACGGATTTAAACAAATATTTTCCATGATATTTTCACAATTGGGATGAAATGCACCATACAGTAGATCAGGATCAGAATCAGGTCGAGCTCAGATCGACAGACTTATTTCTTATATTCATTTTGTGCTTTTCATTTCGAAAGGCAATAAGGTATCGCTTAAATCCATTAATGTTGCACAAAAAAGGAACAGTTTTTCTTGGTAGCTGTTAATGCGCTGGTATTTTTTTTCCAAGCACAAAAAAAATATATAGGGATTTTTTAAGATATAGAACTTTATTATTTTATCTTTTTCTATATTGCTAGAAAAACTAAAGTAATAATTGAAAGCTGGAAAACCTCTTCAGCTACAGTTTTATTCGGCTTTTTCTTCCAGTGCTTTTATTCGAATGACATTCTTTTAAATTCATTCCAGCATTTTTTAACCCTCTGACTACTTAATTTGTAGACATAAGCGCTTCCAAAATTGCGTGGGTTTTTTTTTTTTTTTTTTTTTTTTTTTTTTTTTTTTTTTTTTTTTTTAAATATGTTAAACTTATAATAGGAGAATGAAATGCACTTTTTCGTTCCAGAAAATATTTTTTATATAGATTTTCATCATGAGAAACTAAGTTGCCAGAAAAACAAATTTCAGATGTTATCACAAAAAAAAAATCTTTTTTTAAATAAATTTTAGTCGAATTACAGTTAATTTCTATTCATTGCATAATATAAAAAAAGTAAAATGTATCGAAGGAGGTGTGTTGTTTTCATTCATTTTTGATTGTATTTCGAATTTAATCAATCTATTACTAATTAACGATCAGCGACTTAAAAGCAATATGTTGCCTCTGCATGAAAACATGATCTTTAATTTATCTTTCGCAGCCTACACTCAAGAGTACCACTCAGTAAAATGTAGGATCATAAATATACCTTTCAGACCTAATCAGTTTGTTATTAAGAAAACTGAAAAGCAATAAATGCACTTCTCGGTATTTTAAATCTCTTACTTTTTTGTTATAGTCTCTAATTTACATAGATTAAAATACGTTCATTTTATAGCCAACTAATAATTTTTATGAGCATTAACTTCTTTATAATTAATAAAACATGTTTCTAATGCCACATATTATGTAACTTGTGCAGAAGATTTGAATAAACGTCTTTTCGAGGTGTACAGATTGCTTGCCCACCCCGTTTCTGTGTAAAATCTTAGCAAAATCCGCAAATGCTTATATTTCCTTTCAATGCCATGTTCTATATTTAACTTCCTTTGTAATCCTGTAAGATGATTATGACTTGTTAAGGGTCGAATAACTGCATTTTGCTGCAAACAAGGGCATCAGAATCTACTAATATTGCTGAATTCTGCAGCTTGGAACTATCTATGATGTCATAAAGGAATTAGCTTATTATCTCGTGATTATTCCTATTGTGATGTATAATTTCAGCGCGTCCTGCATTTCACGGTTGAAGGTTTAAAAAGAATAAGGACTTCTGATTATATTCTGCAGACAAATATTGGCCGTAGATATCGATTTTCTTCACGCTTTTTTATTATTATTATTAATTATATGCCTGTCAAATTATTCAGTTGGATAAATCCAAGGAATGTGTTTCGGAATTCGAAAAATGTAAATAACTTGATAGAAACACTTAGTCAACAATGCTGATTTAAAATAATACCGTGAATTCCGGCCTATATGACATTTTAAAAATTCTAACTTAAATATATGCATCTTGAGAGTGACCGACGGTTTGTTTTAAAAAATGTATTTTCTGATTGAATAATTTTTATATTGTTTTATACTTTCAAAGTTTATTTTTAATTTGGGGGCGTTTGTGTAAACTAAGGAAGCTGTAAAATCAATTAAATGTTATAATAAAATTTGAAGTTGTAATAAAAGCAAGGGGAGGTTGGAGTTTCTAAGGGAAACTGGCTCGTATTCATTTTACCTATGTCAAAATCCTCGAAAACCAACCATGCAGCCAACCCGTTCGCTTAGACTAGTATTCAGGGGCATAGCTACTAGTATTCAGGGGCCACAACCGTTTAGCCACTGGTGATTCGGTTTGCTTTATTTTCGTTATGGCAAAACACTTGTAGGCTACTTGCCTAAGGAAAGAGAGGACTAAACTGCTTCGTGCACACGTTACACATATGAAAACCACGAAAACGCCCATGCAGCCAGCCCGTTCACCGCGATTGAAGTGTTCAGTGACTTGACGACTCGACCGCTGGTGGACATACGTATATAGCCTGTGGCCTCGTATATAGCCTGTGGTGGAAGCGAAGGCATTTAGGAATCGGGATGCTGAGCTTTAAATATCTCATGCAAGTGAGGGTATGAAGAGATGATGAAAAATAAAATAACTATCAAATAAAATTTGCATTCACTGCATTAAAAAGTATGAATATTAGTAATATTTTTAAAAGGGAAATGTTCACATAGCATATGGAAGACTATGACCTTGATATTAGATTAAAAATATCGAAGTTTTACACAAACAGGCACACACTTTAGAAATGTGTTTATCAAAAATTATAATGGGTTTAATTCTAGTATACGGTGCACATGAGAATTGGGGAAATTCGGTTTTTACGACATTAAGAAGCGCGATAGGAAGAGAGCAGCCACGCCGCCTCTTATCAGGAATGGAGGTAGAAGCAAAAGTGTGCGCGGTTATCCAGGCAGCCTATTAAGAGAAGGTTTCGGTTTAAGTTGCTTATTAAGAGAAAATTTCAGTTCTCGAAATTTTGAGTTCAAGTTCCGAATTAGCCAAGT